AAACACTAAACCCAACACCCTGAGCCCTAAACCCTAAACCCTAAACCCTGCACACCCATCAAGTCTTAGGAGTCAGGAGGTTGAGGAAAAGTGTTCGCCGGCTCCTAGCACCGGGACCCTCGCTTCCGGACCGGAACCCTAAACACTAAACCCTAAACCCAAGACCTTGATCGTCGCCGTATATAACTTATTATATAACATGGTTCTGCTCCCTGTAAGGGTCGCCAAGATTTGAAGCAAGGAAATTACGGAAGGCTAGGATTTGAGGTATAGGGTTTAGGGTTTAGGGTTTAGGGTATAGGGTTTTAGGGTTTAGGGTTTAGGGGTATTATAGGGTTTAGGGTTTAGGGTAGGGGTATAGGGTTTAGGGTTTAGGGCCTAGGAAGTTTAGAGTTGTGGTTGGCTTGGTGGTTTGTCTGGGATGGTTGATAAAGGAAAGTCTGGTTTCATTGCGGTTGGCTTTCTTGGGGCTGTCGCTCAAGCTTCAGGCAGTGGACGCCGCATTTCTCGGATTTTTGCAGCCACAACTGTGTTTGTGGATCTGGGTGCACGTAGACTCGATTCGAAGCGAACCTGAACTGCGCCGTCCGCCTCTTGTATAAGTTTTTACATCATCTGACAGAACATTCTGTTTCGCCGCTCGGCAATATGATGCTACATGGTACTACATGAAGCTGCACTGCTGTGACATATGTAGACATCTGCTTACACATAATGGTATGCATTTTGCGGTTCTCTGTTGGATTCTGTCGTGCGCCATCTACTACGGTGCCATGTGGTTTCTGGATAGCATACATCCTCTCATATCGCTGCACCTTGTCTATTGCGGTATTTACATATGCACAAACACAAACCAATAAACACACGCCTACCAACAAACAACGACACGAACAAACAAGCAAACAAACAAACACACAAAAAAGCAAATGAAAGCAAACATACAAACAAGCAAGCAAACAAACAAACAAACAAAGAACAAAAACACAAACGTACGAACAAACGAACGAACGAACGCACAAGCAGGCAACCAAACAAACATTCAAGCAAACAAAACGGACACACAAACACACAAGCCTGCAAACAAATAAAGAGACAAACAAACAAACAAACAAGCAAACAAACAAACAAACAAACTAACTAACAAGCAAGCAAACACACAAACAAACAATATATATATATATACATACAGACAAACACACAATCAAACAAGCAAACACCACAAGCGAGCAAGCAATCAAGCAACCAAACAAACACACACACACACAAACACACAAACAAGCAAGCAAGCAAGCAAGCAAGCAAACAAACACACACACACAAACACACAAACAAGCAAGCAAGCAAGCAAACAAACAAACACACAAACACAAGCACACAAACAAATAAACAAACAAGCGAACAAACAAACAAACCGACAAACAATCAAACAAAAAAGCAAACAAACAAACAAACAAACAAACAAACACACAAACAAACAAACAATCAAGCAAGCAATCAAGCAATCTAACAGTCAAGCAACCAAACAACCAAACAACCAAAAAAGTCAAACAAACAAACAGCCAATCAAACCAAACCCACACCTACCAACAAACAAACAAACGATCGAACGAACAAGTAAGTAACCAAGCGCACATGTAAACAAGCGCGCAAACAAACAACCAAACAAACAAATAAACAACCACACACAAATAAGCAAACAGCCAAACAAACAAACCAACAAACAAACCAAACACACCAACAACCAACAAACCAACCAGCCAGCCAGCCAGCCAGCCAGCTAGACAGCCAACCAACCAACCAATCAACCAAGCAAACGAACACACAACCACAAACCAAAACAAACAAAAAAAAGCAAACAAACACCCAGACACACACACAGACAGACAAGCACAGAAGCAAACAAGCAAACAAACTGACAAGCAAACAAACAAACAGACAAACGACCAAACAAGCAACCAAACAAACAACCAACCAAACAAAAAAAGTAAGCAAACACACGAGCAACCAAACATACAAACAAACGAACAAACGACCGACCAACCAACCAACCAACCAAGCAAACAATCAAACAATCAAGCAAACAAACAAACACACAAACAAACAAACAAACAAGCAAACAAGCAAGCAAACAAACACACACACACACGCACACACACACACACACGGGGACACAAGCAAACGAACAAGCAAACGAACACAAACAAACAAACAAACACAAACAAACAAACAAGAAAACACGCAAACACAAACACACAAACACACAAACAAACAAACACACAAACAAACAAGCAAGCAAACAAACAAGCAAGCAAGCAAACAAACAAGCACACAAACAAACAAGCAAAAACAAACAAGCGGACACACGTACAAAAAAAGCAAACAAGCAAACAAACAAGCAAGCAAACAAACAAGCAAACAAACAAGCAAACACACACACACACACACACACACGCACAAGAACACAAACACACACACATATACACACACACACACAGAAACAGACAGACAGACAGACAGACAGACAGACAGACAGACAGACAGACAGACAGAGAGACACAGAGACGGACGGACAGAAAGACAAACAAACAAACAAACAAATACACACACACACACACGCCCACTCACTGACACACAACCAAACAAACAACCACGCAGGCAAACAAACCAACAAGCAAGCAAGCCGGCAAACAAGCGAATAACACAAACAAGCAACCAACCAAACAAAAACAAGCAAACAAACAAGCAAACACATATATAAACAAGCAAGCAAACAAGCCAACAAACACACAAACAAGCAATCAATCAAACAAGCAATCCAACAAGCATACAAACAATCAAACAAGCAAGCAAGCAATCAGCGAGTAAACAAATAAACAACACACCCGCACACAAAGAAGCCAGCAACATCACAAACTTTCAAGCAAGCAAAGAAGCGACCAAGCAGACAGGCAAACGCGCAACGAAGTGCGCAACACACACACACACACGAAACCAACCAAGCTAACAACCAACCAAGCAAACAAGCAAACAAGCGGCACACCAGCAAGAGCAAGCAACCAATCAAGCATGCATGCAAGCAAGCAAAATAAGAAACTAACAAACAAGCAGACAATCAGACAAACAAACAAACAAACAAACACGCAACCAAACAACCAACCCAACAAGCAAACAAACAAACAAGCATGCAAACACACAAACACACAAACACAAACATGCAGGCAAACAAATAAACGAACGAAGAAACACACACACACACAAGCAAACAACCAAGCACTCAAAGCACACGCACACCCACACGCACACACACACACACAAAACACACATCTCCCGATATACCTGCGTGTTGTTATGGAGGCATACATGTGCATGAACACATACACACATGCGCATGCGAATGCTGTGAACACGTACGAGACTACGACCTACAGTTTGCAGGCTCGACGCTCTAAGTCCAACGCCAAGAGACACGAACTCTAAAGCGGCTTGTGGGTTTCGGGGTAAGTGCTTTAGGTTTCGAGTTTAGGGTTTAGGGTGTAGGGTTTAGAGTTGAGGAATTGGCGTTTTCGGCTTAGAGTATAGGGTTTAGGGTTTAGGGTTTGCAGTGTAGGGTTTAGGGTTTAGGGGTTTAGGGTTTAGGGCCTAGGTTTCAGAGTTTAGGGTCTAGGGTTTAGGATGGTACCCGAGAAAGGTACCCCTGGCCCGTGCACAAGCAAATCACCCGGATCCCATCCACCCGGCACCGACGAGGCCATGCGAACGGAGAGAAAGAAACTCTTGTCCACATGTCCCCAAGAATCTAAAGAATGATACTAGCAAGCCGAAAAACCCCTAAACCCTAAGCCATAGCCAGCGATGCCAACTTCGGCACTGTGGTCCAGTTCGAGGGTCGGGGATAGCTTTTTTCCAAGTCGAGGCAGGCCTTGTTGTACAATATAGAGGCCTTAATAATCACCTATATTATTATGATATTTATGGTATAATTGTTCCCCCAAGCCCTATTCGAATTAGTAAGGCCCCTACATTAGGGTGTACTGTAAAGGACGGTCTGTGCAGCTACTAACCCTGAGCCGGCTGAGGGCTTGTATGGGTGAGTTTTGGAAATCTGTGCAGTGTTACGCGGAGGCAGCTGGTTCCTGTTTAGGGTTCGGGTCTAGGGTTTAGGGTTTCGGGTTGCGGGCTTGCGGTTTCAGGGTGTTTGAGCACGTTTAGGTGCTTCAGAGATTTGGTGTTAACCTATTTCGGGAATTTTTCGGGGTTGGGGTTACGGTTTGTGCGTTGTCAGTTTGTTCTGCACCAGCAGCTTTCTGCTTAGCTTGGATGCTAAGTCTCAGTCACGAAAGCTGCGCGAAACTTTGTCATGTACATGCCAGTTGTTGTGTGTTCGGTGGCTGTTGTCTACAGATGTGCTGAGCCGAATCCTAAACCCCGACACAGACCCAAAATACAAGACCATGCTGGGGTATCTGGAAGACAGCATCGGAGGATATGTCTTGGGACGTGGGACCTGAGGCACATATGAGCGTTGCTTCGGTTCAGGTCTGGCTTATTGCAGGCTTGGTCATAGTCAGCTACCCTGAACCCTAAACCCTAAAACCCTGAGACGACTTTTTGTAAAGGAAGCCCTGCTTGCAAGGGGAACATTGGCTGAGAAGGCCAACCCCATATCCATTATGTACAGCACAGCTTCGGAGCAGTGAAAACCAGCACCCTAAAGCCTAAACCCTGAACCGAGCATGTTTGTGCCCTTGCTGGTCTTGGGGCTCAGGTTTCGCCGGTCCGAGTCCCGAGTGAAAGGCTAAGAAGCCTCACCTGCCTGTCTTGGCATAGCATAGTTCCTAAGGCCCAAAATCCCACACTGAATCCGACAAGCCCTGCAACCCAGATCTTAAAATCCCTAAACCCTAAACCCTAAACCCAGTTTTTGCTTCCCACTTGGCATCCTTTTCCTGGCGATGGCGGCTTCATGCGTTGCTGCTGGCACTCGAAGTGCACCCTACGCCATGGCACGTCGAAGCTGCGCGGAGCTCCTACACAAGGCCCCTAAACCACCCAACTTTGAACCCTAAACCCCTAAACCCCTAAACCCTAAACTTTAGGGTTTAGGGTTTAGGGGATTAGGGTTTAGGGTTTAGGGATTAGGGTTTAGGGTTTAGGCCTAAACCCCTAAACCCCTAAGCCCTTCAAGGCTTCGACTGAGTGGCCGGATTTGCCCTTCCGAGTGGACCGCGAAGCCGCATCAAGCTTCGCAGAGGAGTCGAGGCACAGTTTAAGGCTTAGGGCCTAGGGGTTAGGGTTTAGAGTTTAGGGCTTTGGGTTTAGGGTCTAGGGTTTAGGGCTTAGGGCCTAGGGTTTAGGGTTAGGTCCAGCTCTTTATGTGGCCTCATGCAGGCAAAATAAGACCTCCAGGGGTCTAACTCCCGAAGATCTGATTCTCAAAGAATGACGGTTTAGGGTCTAGGGTTTAGGGTTTAGGAAATTCATTGTCATTGACAAAGGTCGGAGACTTTGCAACCCTTTTTCTTTAATTTGTTGGCTTCCTGACTCAAGCTGAACAGTGGACCAGGGCCCGCCTTCAAACCCTGAAGCCCTTCACTGTAAACCCTGAACTTGAAGGTTTGTGGCTTAAGTAGGTTTGGGGTTTTGGGGTTTTGGGGGTTTTAAGGTTCTAGGGTTTAGGGTTTAGGGTTTAAGGTTTTGGGTTTTGGGGTTTCAGGGTTTACGGGTTTTAGGGTTTAGGATTTTTTGTTCAAGGTTTTGGGGTTTAGGGTTTTAGGGTTTAGGGTTTAGGCCTTATTGTCAAAGGGGGTGCTGGGAGAACAAGGAGCTGGACGTCGCTAGGGTCAAAGCTTTCGGCGCTTCCTTGGCGACGGATGCCAACTTCACGGGCACAGCGTGCCAGTTTGCTTCGGTACCTACGCAGAGCCATGGTTTAGGTGTAGGGTTTTTCTGAACCCTGAACCCTGAACCCTGAACCCTAAAAACCTAAACCCTAACCCTGATAGCTCCCTGGTTCTTAGTAGGGAATGGGGAATTGGTTTTTGGGACCTCAAGGGACTATCATAGGGGATCCTTTCCCCGATGCCCTACGGAGGACCAGGGAGGTATTCAGAATCTTAAGTCAAGATGCTGTATGCGCCATTTACCAATCCCTTGTGAAACACCTCCAATCCCTAGGACCTAACATAATCCTACTTCTGACTCTCTTAAAGGGACCTTATTGAGAGGGTCTATATTGCCAAGGGTCCCCTAATCCTGATTGCCCAAATCGAGCCTTGCGCAAGCCTTGTGCCCAGAATCCGAAAGCCTAAAATATACGCGTGTGCCCCAAACTCCAAAGCCCTAAGCTCCAAACGCCGAAACCCACGTAAATGACGAAACCTAAACTAACTCGAAACCGAACCCCTAAACCCCTAAACCCTAATCCCTACGAAAGGTAAATGAAGAAGCCGGCTTTATCCTTTTGCTGCATGCGCTTGACTTCGGCTCTGGGTGGCGACAGGAACTGCACAGACATCATGGAATCCGGACTCTTTTTGGGGGGTTTCGTAATATAACCATAGTATAGTGGGCCCCAAAACCCCACCTAAACCCTAAACCCTCAACCCCAAACCCTAAACCCTAAAATTTAGGGTTTGGGGTTTAGCATTTTGGACTTAGGGTTCAGGGTTTAGGGCTTTGGATTCAGGGTTGAAGATCTAGGATTATAAGGTTTAGGGCTTTGGGCTTCGTGGTTCCTTAAAGGGTTTAGGGTTTAGGGCTTTGGGTTTAGGGTTTAGGGTTTAGGGTTTAGGGTAGATACGGGTTACTAGGTGGCAATTTGGGAAACTTTAAAATTTCCCTTATGGTTCCTATAGAGGTACCTATTCATAAATACTTTTCAGGGCCCCAAAACTGCAACCCAGGTTACCAAAAAGACTGTTATAGGGATGTTTACTCTCGGGCCTTCAGAAATGGAGCAGGGTCTGTGGCTTTGGATCTGGGTTTAAGGTTTGGGGTAGAGGGTGTAGGGGCTTACGGTTAGGAGGGGCTCAGGGAATAGGATTTAGGGTATAGGGCCTAGGGGCTTACGATTAGGAGGGGATCAGGGAATAGGATTTAGGGTTTGGAGTTTTTGAGGATACTGTTCAGTGCGCAGTGGTTTTTCTCATTAGGAGCAGGAAGTAGAGCTGCTTTCGAAAAGCCATCCAGAGCAGCAGAGGAAAGGGGGCATATTTGACCATCAAGCCGGGCGTCGAAGCGCTCCATGCGGGCGCGGCTGCCGCAGGCGGCTTTACGGCAGAGTGGCTCAGCAGCCGTAGCCTGGGCGATGTTGCCAAAGCCTTTGCCTTGCAAGGAAACTTTGTCAGGGTTGGGTAACACTTTAGATTTTTATGGATACTTAAACTTAAAACCCACTATGGAACAGAAATTAGGATTTTCACTACTATCCCAAAAGTGAACTAGGAAACCCAGAACTGGAAGACTTGGTCGACCTCCTGTTGCAAGTGATTCACGAACTGGGGGAAGGCTGTGCCAAAGAAGGGTCCCTCGAAGCATTTGTGGCACAAGCTTTGCATGCCTGTGCCGACTCAGAAACGCCTGCAGCAGAGATGGTGTGGGCACTCGTGGACACGTTTCCTTCGACTTTTGACGATAGATACATCCTTCGCGAAGCCCAGGCTGTATGCTTCTTCAAGAAAGCTCAGCTGGTGGTTGGGGAGCTCTTTCATCGCTTCCGCGAGGAAGATCGCCGCTTCCGGTTTCCCGATGGCGACCATCTGACGGCCTACATCGACAACGTGATCTGCGCCACCCTCAGGTACAAGGGCGTTGTTGTTGCAAATGCAGAAGCGACGAAGATGATCGAAGAGGGCCAAGAGTTGCCCAAGGGCTCGGAGTGGGAAGTTTGCTTCCGGGCTGCTGCGCTCTGCGGCGTCGAAGCCGTCAAAGGAGCCCCTAAACCCTAAACCCTAAGCCCTTCATCCTAAACTCTACACTTAAGTCGCCTGCGTCAGGCAACCGTTGGGGTGCATGTTGAGAATTATATTAGTGATTAATCAGTGATAATTTAGTGATTCATTGCTCTCACAAAAAGTGATTCGTCGGCGGAAATAGTGATCGGGTGTCCCTGAAATAGTGATCGGGTGTCCCGAAAATAGTGATCGGGTGTCCCGAAAATAGTGATCGTGTGTCCCGAAAATAGTGATCGGGTGTCCCGGAAATAGTGATCGGATGTCCCGAAAATAGTGATCGGGTGTCCCGAAAATAGTGATCGGGTGTCCCGGAAATAGTGATCGGATGTCCCGGAAATAGTGAGCGCGTGTCCCGGAAATAGTGATCGGATGTCCCGGAAATAGTGATCGGGTGTTCCGGAAATAGTGATCGGGTGTTCCGGAAATAGTGAGCGCGTGTCCCGCAAAAAAAAGGCAATGATCAGATGTCTCGGAAAAGTGTTGGATGTCCCACAACACATCATCAATGATCGGATATGCCGGAAATAGTGGTCGGGCATCCCGCAAGTAATTTATCGTTTGTGCACGCGGACATAGGGAGATCAATATGGTGAGGTATAGATCAGTTGGGTTGTGTCAGTTGGGACCTGTTTGGGGCGAAAATCAGGTGCCTGACGAATCACTTCTTGTGAGAGCAATAAAACACTTAATTAATTATCGTTCAATTATCACGAAAATAGTTCTCAACATGCACCCCAACGGTGGCCTGACGCTGGCGACTTAAACGCCAGGCTCTGCGTTGCGGACGAGTCTATGATTGGGAGTCTAGCTCTGCTTTGGAGATGTACGGTAGGATGTCGCATGAGGGACCGCAAGGCTTTCATGATGTGTCACCTGTCAGCTGGCATGTCTTCCAACAGGTCCAGAGTCCAGGCTATCCCAGCTTCGCTTGTGATGCTAGTGTAGCAAAAGTGTAGCAGCATAGCTTCAGTCTAGCCGAGCAGTCGCAGCTAGTCAGCTAGTCCGGTAGGTCGGATATGACCTAGGACCTAGCACATGGTCACTAGTTCCGTAGTTCCTTGCGCCAGCATGGCGGCTGATGCAATTCACTGCAGTAGTAGTTCTGCTTCCGATGCTCATTCAAGAAGCACAGACACAATGGACAGAAACTGGAGTGCTCTTGGTCAGCAGGCGAGGCAGCGAATGCAGGACTTGACGCAGTTGACGCAGGAAGCTGATGATTGCAAGGAGCAGTCGGATTCATCAGCGTCGTTGCCGAACTGTGGTCAGGAGATGGTACGGAGCCCACTTGGTAGAGTCTTTTCTCGGGCTCCTTGGTGGGCACGCCGTCTCGCGGCTTTGACGAGTCACCGCCGACTTCCCGATTCAAAGAGACCTTTGAATGTAGTCTCGGGCTGCACCGGTGTCAGTGCCGAGAGCTTTGTTTTGGAGGCCTGATCGTTGAACTTTCCGCGAAGAAATTTGTTCAGCTTCAAACTTCACGCTTCAATTCCTGCTTGGTCTTTGGGTTCTCATTCGTGATGCTCTGGTTTCTAGTAATTCAGTAGCCGCAGTCGCAGCTTTCGTGCAGACCCAGTTGTGCAAGTACATCATTACAGAAACAATAAGTTCATTCCGTTGAGAGGAGTTACACGTGCCTGGCAGGCGTTCAAGGTGCCGTTCAACTTGCTTAGTGCGAGCGACCCGAATCTTTTGGGCCGTGAGCTGATGTCGAGCAATCTGAGCAGCAGTGCTACACACTGGTACAAGGTTTCCCAAGCACGTGATGCATCATGTTGCCTGCATCGGTTCTGCTCGAGCTGTGTGTCGGCACCTGTGGTGCCGGATATCGGCATCTGCGGTACTCCCTGCCACCCCTATTCAAGACAGCGCAGTGGGAGGTTTGATTGTGCTTCGGTTGAGGGTCACAAAGAGTTTGATGTGGCGATGGCTGATTTTATGGAGTGGATTCGGCGCATGAGCCCTAAGTGCCAGATCTTCGAACAAGTTGATGACTTCATGTCCCCGTTTAGCAAGAAGACATCGGAAACACCGTTCGACAGGCGCCACGGCTTCAACTTTATTAGCTGGTCGTGTACTCGGAAAGAAAGTCATTGACTCACTGTGTACATGAGCTAGATAGCAGCTAGAGTCGAGTCAGCTAGAGTCTTTGTTGTCATTCATATCCGGGACCGAGTGAAGCAGCTTGCGAGAACCCAAACCACAGTGACTAATGACTAGCTCAGCCTTCTCCGCAACTTTTCCTCGAGCACAAAGCTTTGTATTTACCCGGGTTCCGGAAGCTCGCAGTCGTAGTAGCCGTGGCATGAAGCTGCAGCCACGTCATGCATGTTCAGGTTCAAACAGCTGCTCTCGGAAGTGCGGTTCCAGCACAGTGGCTACTACTTGGTCAAGAAGCACCTCGACATGAACATTTGGCTCAGTGTGAACAGACCCAGGCCCGGGCAGTGGGGACGGCACGGTCGTAGTGACGGCTTGCTCTGGATTTGTGGGTTCAGTCTGCGCGTTGGCACCTCGCTTTGGTTCGGCCAAGGGCTGTGCACTGTAGTGTAGCGACTGTAGCACTGTAGCCGTTTCCTAGACGTTTTGGGGCAGAGTGGGGAGACGTCCTGAGGTCCGTGCATCATCCCCACCCAGGGTTGCTGTCAGGGACTGGCTTGCAAGCTTAAAGTTTAGTTTTGTCGTCGTAGACATATTTGAAAATGCAGGGACCGTAGAATGGCAGCAGTGCTACATGCAAGTAATGTAGGTTGTGACCCAGGTCAGTCCATGTCAGTTTCCGAAGACCACATTCTAGTTATAGTTGCGGATAGTGCGGTGTCTTGAGTTTTGACAGGATTCGGATGGGATTCCGTGTTGCTTGGTGCACGATTTTCTGTTGGAGCTGCAGTCCTTTCAGAGGTGCTGCCTGCAAGAGTGAGGGGACTGATGACAGATTACAGGATGTTGCGAAGTGGCCATGACATCGTCGATGCAGGAAAACCCGAAATCATAAGCCCCAAATTCCTGAACCTTAAAAGGATTCCCTAAACTCTAGCCCTAAGCCCTAAACGCCTTAAACCTTGGCCCTAAACTTCTTAAACCTTTGAATATGTCCCTAAACCTTCGATCCTCGAAGAACTTTAGTCAGAGACTTTGGTCAACTTTAGCTTTAGATTCTAGGTCTAGGTCGTTGTGCTGTTACCATGTTTTCTTCTGCGAGCTCCAGCTCTTCCGACCATGGATATGTTTCCAACGTCCGTGGTGGTGCTGAGCAGGCTCAGCACAATGATAGAGATGATGATGCCAGTTGCGGCTCTTCCGACAGCGGGTATGCAGCCGTCGTCCGTGGTGCTGCTGCTGGGGAGGCTCAACGCAACGACGAAGAGGAAGACGATGGTGAGGATGCTCTGCGAGCATCCGGCCGGTTGCAGCCACTTTCGGAGCAGCGACCCCGCAAGCCGGGCAGGCCACCTGGTTCATTCGGAGCCGGGATATTGCGTCAACAACGTGCTGGTTTGTTGCAGGGTCTGTTGGAGCAGAAAGCTGCATCCAGACTGCAGCCGGGAGATATTGCATATGCTAGGCAGTTCAAGCCTCCTCCTGCGGGCCCTGCAGATGCAGGCAGCTCCGATAAGCGGTTGCAGGAGCTGCAGCGGCCCAGCGGTGCCATTGCTACTGGCTTGTTAGAGTCGTGCTCGATGATTTGGGAGACAATGCAAGACATGGGCTCCACGTTGCAGCAATTGTTGATGGCTGCAGCCCGCTGGTCCTTTCGATGCCAGACGTCTGAATCTAGGGAGAGCTCCGCGGAAGCATCTGTGTTTCAGATGAAGGAAAGAGCCATCATGTCTGATACGGCTTTGAAAGCGTCCCTGGACAACGACGCGGACAAGGATCCGATCGAACGTCGAAGCATCCCCGACAGGCTGCGACGAGTTGCTGCGTCCTCTGTTTTGGGAGGAGGGCTGATGTGGGCTGGGCTTCTTCAAGCAATCAATGCCAAATCTGGCACGGAGTCGGCATCATTCCAGCCAGTGCTGTGCCTGGTCAAAGCTCGTTACGACGAGACTCCCCTGAAGCTAAAGGTGGAAGCAAAGCCTCAGGGCGCGGAGGGCACCCAGCGTGCGAGTTCTGGGAAGCAAGAGGAGACTGCAGATCATGCGAAGGTTTTGCAGACGGAGTATTCTGTTCATTGTTTGTTTGCAACCGGAGCAGGTCAGCACATCGTGATATCAGGGCAAGTGCCCACAACGCTGCAGTGCGTCGACCGATGCACATCGGAATGCTTGAAGAAGGCTTTGCTAGACACTCAATCAGCGATCCCTGACTTGGCAAGACTCAGCAACATGTTCCAGCGCAAGCTTCGGGCTGCAGCATCTTGGTCGTGTTCAGGTATTTTACATTAGATGTTTGCTATAAACGCAGCTTCTCCGGAGATGCTGGACGTTTTTTGATATACTGATCTACTAGACTGATATACTGATATACTAATATCTGATATTCGTCTTTCTGACTACGAGCATAGCAAAGCAAGGGTTCGTTTGGATGCCGGATTTAAGCTGTTTGTGGTTTGGCTAGTTTAATAAAGTCTTTCCCTGTTCCAGAGTTTTTAGGAACAGTTTAGTCTAGAGATTCTAGCTAGATTCTAAAGTCGTATACGCCGCCGTGATGAATAGGTCGTGGACAGATATGCAGCGAATATAAAGACGGAAAGATCGATCCAAGACGACGACATGTCCTGGCAGAAGCATTTGCAGTTTTGCGAGACTCATATAGTACATCAGAGCAACCGGCATTGCATGGATTTGCTGTCCACGGATTTGAGTGGCATGGTCAGCCTCGCTTTGTCCCAGCACGGCGGGGGCACCCTGCAAACACTGCGGGACATTTTATCCGACGTGATCAAGACTGATCTCCGCATCGTCTATGGAATGCCACCTCAGGGTGATGTGGTTCGCCGGCGCAAGCTGGTGCACGACCTGTTTTTGCCGCTTGGGTCCACGGAGGCTTCAGACTTCCAAACGGCGCGTCGACGTTATGTTCTTTCTTCGTTGTTTAACAGCAACCTGGATTCGGAGGAGCTGGTGCACCACTGTGCGTGGAACTGTTGCAGAGATGCTTCCCACACAGAGGCGAAGTTCCTGCAGCACGGCGTTGCCGCGCTCTTGCCGAGAAAACTTGGCAGACTGGCAAAAAATAGATGGACGGGGCATCGCTCTTGCGTAAACTGGTGCGGCCTTCTGGAAAGCCACCATCGGCTGCTGACTAGAGTGGTTTCAAGATTTACCGGAAGACCAATTGCCGGTCCTGGAGATTGAGAAACTGCCGAGCTGCAGGACGATGGAGAATCGAGTTCATGTGGGGAGGCTTACCATGTCGGCCTGCAGCCACCTGCGCAAGCCGTCCAGAGTGGCAATTTTCCTTTCGAAGATGCAGACGTCCATGTTGAGGATGACGAGCCTCAACCTGCTCCTCCAGTGGTGGCTGAGGCGCGAGCTTGGAACGTCAGTGCAGTGTCTTTGCCAGCAGGTTTTCGCAGGTTTTCATGCGTGAGTACACGTCTATCTTTGTTTCTCTCTCTCTCTC